TTTTTTCCAATTTGTGGTTTGTTTTGTTTTTTCTTTCTTTCTTTGAAAATAAATGACGACTACGAACGACGGCGACTAGTATAGAATGACATGTGCTATGTTTCGTAAAAATCGGTTCAGATTTAGATATAGCTCCCATATATATTTTCGTCCGATTTTATGTAATTGGTGCACCAAAGTCCCTATATATTTTTCGATTTGAACGAATTTTGGTATATGGTATTGAATTAAGTCTAGAATGATGTTGCAAATCTTCTCTGGCAAGTTTTACTGAAATCGGTTCAGATATAGATATATAACAAAAACGCGACGTCTGTTAGAATACATATGTAGAATATACCCAAAGTGGTTAAGGGTATCATATAGTCGGCCCAGTCCGACTTTACTACTTTCCTTACTGGTTGGGTCTTATTTGGGTTTGGATTTCTTTCATACCGAAAAGAATTACATAAAAAATTGTTTAACGATTTTTATACCCTGCAACTATGCTAGCGGATCAAATGGACCCAAACTTTTGTGTTGATAGTATATACAAGAGGAGTTGTTGACATTTTCATTGATATCAATTATATGGCTGAATGTACTCTATTGTGGATACGGATATACTGACATTGTTTAGTAATAGATGACTAGGAAATTTTGCTTGAGATTCCAGTTATGGTCAAAATGACGCTTATAATTTAGATTAGATGATACTTGGGGGATGAAATGGTTCGAAAAATTGAAATTTATGGAGTATATTTTTACTTAGGAAACCATAATTCGGAAAAACTGTCGCAGAGGAGCTGTTGACCTTCAATCCGTCAAGAGATTGCAGATATTGCGAAGTATTACTCAGACACGAAATATAAATATGCAGAAACTTATAGTTATTGTGGAAGTAGTGTAGGGTAATATATGGATGGCCCTGTCCGACTATACTGCTCCGCTCACTGGCTTTTTTTGTAATGAACATATTTTATTGCCATTTGACCTTTTTTATAGTCTCCACCATACGGTGGATGGTCGCATATTTCATCGGAGACCCCAAATATTCTTGATTAGAGTAAAATTGTATGTCGATTTATGCATATCCGCCTGCCTGTCTGCTGAAATCACGATCACGAAAATGCAATATAAAAGATAGAAGAATATTAGTCCACTTTTTAGTCGGTCGGCCCCACAAAACGGTAGCCCCTTGTTCGGTATTTTGGGATTTTTGGAAACATATTTCAACCTAATTCGCTGTAATATGGTATTGGTCCATGCTTTAGGGAATCTAGCGATTCATCACCTTACCTCAATAACCCATTCAAGACCTCAAGAATAGATTTGGTGAGCCTTTCGAAAACCATTATCTAGAGAATATAGGGTTTTGTAAGAGTATTGGTAGTGACCATTTAGATGTATTTGTTCATCATTACACTGGGCAACATCGTAATATTTCCTGCAAACGTAGTTCATGTTCGAAAATGGAGAATATCGGTCCATACCCTTTGGTAGCTCCCACGCAAATTGATCAATATTGTGCAAAAAAATAATTTTATAATATCATCCGATTTGAGCCTAGATCAAGCCCGAATATGGGACCCATTGGTCCACTCTTTCTGGGACCTTCCCCACACCTGGTCAAATTTTCAATATTTCCGAATTGAACCAAACTTTGCACAACCTACTATATTTATCTTTACCAAGCTTATATTAAGTCCGAAGGTGGGACCGTGGGTACTATTTTATAAACTTGTACATTTAATTTGAAGCGAATTGAACAACCGATTTGATAAAAATTAAATCCGAAACCTCTTCCATAAACCTTATATAAAGCGAATAATAAAAACTGTGTGTAATTCCAAAGAAATCAGCCAAAATGTCAAAAATCTTAAAAATATGAAAACTCATTTTAGGGTTAAAACCGATCTTTTGCCGATTTTGTATGCATTTTTTCTCACTAAATGTCGTTTTAGAACGATGGTACCAAAGACTTTTTGTCTTCTCCATGAAATTGTAGTATAAGCCTCTGAACAAGAGAAATCTGTAAATGAGGGTAGTTCGGGAAGTTCTTAGCCGTTTCTGTGCCCTTACTCTAGTGACCAGGAGGTCAAGGCCTCTGTAAAAATTACTTTTTTCTTCCAATTTATTTGGAAAAGGGGCAGTTCGGAAAGTTCTTAGCCTAGCACAAAAAGCGCGGTAAAAACAGAGAAAAGTTAAGTGTTTTGGAAACTTCCATCTCTGTTATGAACACATATTAAATTTTGTTTCGATCTAGCAACTCCTTCATATAGAAACAGGTGTTCAAAAAACACGCATCCGCAATTTTTTACAATGAAAGCACGAATTTCTAATTTTTCCATTGTAAAAAAATTGCGGATGCGTCTGTTTTTATATGATATAGGCTTTATATGTGCCATGCTAAGACCTTTCCGAACTGCCCTTTTTCCAAATAAATTGGAAGAATAAAGTAATTTTTACAGAGGCCTTGACCTCCTGACCACTAAAGTAAGGTCACAGAAACGCCGAGTTAGGAGTCCACACCTTGAATTATTTATTTATTAGTAACTTATGAAAGTACATTTTATGAATCCGAAACACCTTGACATTTGTTGGATTTTTATAGACACTTTCACCATGTTAACTCATTTCCAAATTCGCTTATTGACGTATTTTTGTGCTCAGCATGAAGCTCGGCTGTCACTGCAATTTCCATGAGACTTTTTTCCGCACCGAGACCCTGCAATGACCTACAAATTTAACTCATGTAAGAAACAGTTATAACCGGCATTGTCGCAGAACGTCAACGAAATTCGGCAATTTTGCGGAATTGACGTAAACAAAGCTCAAGAAAAAGTAAACATAAACATTTTTTTGCTCACAAACACACACACATTCACACACCTTATTAAAATTGTTTTGATTTTTTTGTTTGCTTTTATTTTTTGATGACCCGTTTAATTTCGAATATTTCCGCATATTTGTTCCATTTTTTGTTGATTGCTCCAATTTCTTTTTGAAATTTAGGTCATACCGAAGTGCGGTTTCGGGGTGATCCCATTTCTTAATTGGTGTCAATGCAAAAATATCAAAAGAAGACCCCCGCGCGAAATGAATTGAACCTCACGCCACATCTAAAGTCTGGTCAGAAACTGCGGCTGCTGAATTTGCCAACGACAATTGTTTGTCGCTTGAAGTGCGGTTGTGTGTGTGCGTTAATGTGTTATCAGAACATTATCTGATTCATTTGCGGCACACACAGAGAAACAAATACGACTTATTTACTAACTTCCAATACTTTCAGCTAAGCCATGCCGAAACGTATCTAAATCGGGATAAGTGTGCTGAATAGAGTTTTCTATTGGAAAACTTCTATTTAGCCCGGCTGAATAGAGTTTTCTATAGGAAATCTTCTATTTAGCCTGGCTGAATAGAGTTTTCTATACGAAAACTTCTATTTAGCCTGGTTGAATAGAGTTTTCTATAGAAAACATCTATTTAGCCCGGCTGAATAGAGTTTTCTATAGGAAAACTTCTATTTAGCCTGGCTGAATAGAGTTGACGATAGGAAAACTTCTATTTAGCCTGGCTGAATAGAGTTGACGATAGGAAAACTTCTATTTAGCCTGGCTGAATAGAGTTGACGATAGGAAAACTTCTATTTAGCCTGGCTGAATAGAGTTGACGATAGGAAAACTTCTATTTAGCCTGGCTGAATAGAGTTGACGATAGGAAAACTTCTATTTAGCCTGGCTGAATAGAGTTGACGATAGGAAAACTTCTATTTAGCCTGGCTGAATAGAGTTGACGATAGGAAAACTTCTATTTAGCCTGGCTGAATAGAGTTGACGATAGGAAAACTTCTATTTAGCCTGGCTGAATAGAGTTGACGATAGGAAAACTTCTATTTAGCCTGGCTGAATAGAGTTGACGATAGGAAAACTTCTATTTAGCCTGGCTGAATAGAGTTGACGATAGGAAAACTTCTATTTAGCCTGGCTGAATAGAGTTGACGATAGGAAAACTTCTATTTAGCCTGGCTGAATAGAGTTGACGATAGGAAAACTTCTATTTAGCCTGGCTGAATAGAGTTGACGATAGGAAAACTTCTATTTAGCCTGGCTGAATAGAGTTGACGATAGGAAAACTTCTATTTAGCCTGGCTGAATAGAGTTGACGATAGGAAAACTTCTATTTAGCCTGGCTGAATAGAGTTGACGATAGGAAAACTTCTATTTAGCCTGGCTGAATAGAGTTGACGATAGGAAAACTTCTATTTAGCCTGGCTGAATAGAGTTGACGATAGGAAAACTTCTATTTAGCCTGGCTGAATAGAGTTGACGATAGGAAAACTTCTATTTAGCCTGGCTGAATAGAGTTGACGATAGGAAAACTTCTATTTAGCCGGGCTGAATAGAGTTGACGATAGGAAAACTTCTATTTAGCCGGGCTGAATAGAGTTGACGATAGGAAAACTTCTATTTAGCCGGGCAGAATAGAGTTGACGATAGGAGAACTTCTATTTAGCTGGGTTGAATAGAGTTGACGGTAGGAGAACTTCTATTTAGCTGGGCTGAATAGAGTTTTCTTTAGGAAAACTTCTATTTAGGCGGGCTGAATAGAGTTCACGATAGTAAAACTCCTATATAGTCTGGCTGAATGGAGTTACTGTTCGGAAAACTTCTATTTAGCCTGGTAGAATAGATTATTAACAGGAAAATTTCTATTTAAAATGGCTGAATTCTGTTTTCTTTAGATAAATTTATGTTCAACTTGGCTAAATATTATTTTCCCTGAAAACGTTCTATTCAGCTGAGCTGAATACAAGTAATGTTTGATATAATTCTCCCCTTACCCCCCAGAAATAAAACATATTTTCATTTTTGCTTTCTGTTTCATCAGTATTTTCGTTTTGCTTCAATAATAATTGTAGCAAAATCCAAAGATTACTTAGTAGTTTATTAAATAATTCAAAATCTTCTTCTTCATCATCATTTTCAAAATCATCATCATCATTGTCGTTGTGGTTGAAATCGTTATCTCTTCGTAGGTCCATAGTAACAATAGCAAAGTCCGGAAATCTTGAATTGGGCGATGTGTAAATATTATCAGTTGCTAGGCAGCGGTAGCACCCTAGCTTCCGATAATATTTGTACAGTACTCCTCATAAAACATAGGTGTCATAGTAGTCCACATCGTGACCAGAGATGAAGGAGATTTTTTCCAAAATATTGATGAGCTTAAGGGTGGCCTGCTGGGGTTCAACTCTTGGCAATTTCAGCCACTTCTCTTCCTCTTCGCCTGCCATAACATCGGCGACATCGATCACGTTGTTGTTCTCATCGTATTGTGGCTGATGGGTCTTGAGAATACCAGGAGCATAACTCATAACGGTAACATTACGAAGACTTTCATCGGAAGCAATGGAACGGAAATACATGTCACGGGCCTTCTTGCAGGAGCACTTCAACGAACTGTAGAACATGGGCTGGATCATAAATTGCGAGTTGATGTTGATCAGCAGCATGGGGGTATCCTTAAGCGCGGCACACTTGATGAATTCTTGATTGAGAGCAACGGGAGCATACAAATGTTGATTGGCAAAGGCCATCCAGGATTCGGCATCTTGGGGTTCCATTAGCATATGAGTGGCAAAAGTACCTTCGTTGTGTACGATTAAAGCAAATTCGAATTCTCTAAAGCCTCCAGCTTCCTGCTGGGGTAGGCTGAGTACAGTCGCGAGTAAATTGTGGAATAACTTGGAATCGGCATTCTGCCAGTCCATTAAATTACAGCAAACAACCTGCAGTCCTTTGGTCGACGTCTCGATTTCTTGACGAACTTCTTGCAGACACTTGTCATCGACATCCATGAGCATGACGAGAGATCCCATTTGGAAACGGCTACACATTTCAATGGCCAAATGTTTGCCCAAGGGATTGGTGACACCACTCAGGATGAAAAGGGATTTTTTCTTCAAGTCCATTCTTTTGGCTGACATTGTTGTTGTTGTTTGTTTTCTTAATTTATTTGTTTAAAGTAAAATTTAATTATTTTGATTTATTTAAAAAAGGAAATAACTTTTCTTCCACCAAAGGCCCGGAGCGTGTTATTCCACTATCGACTGCTGTACTGCACTGAAATGTTTGTCGTTCCCCTGTTTACCAAGAAAACTTTTTGTTCACAATTTGCTTAAGCGGTGTTTGTGTTTGTTATATGGCTGGTCATATGTAGATCCAAGTTGTTTGGACCAGACTCCTATGTATTTATATGAACGACGAACTTAGTGAAATGTATCATCACCACATCGGGAGGTTCTTATCTCTTTGCTGTCTGTCTGCCTATCGATCGGTGGTTTACGCTGTCTGTGCGAATCGAGGTTTTTCAATATTCATTTCATCATGAAGATAAGGGCGAGAATCTATCCCAAAGCGGTTCAAATCGATTCATCTAATTTGAACCGCTCACAGGCACAGTGTTACTATTCGATTGTTAATTCCGGTAAGGAGTTTAAATTTAAATTGAACTGATTTATGCAAACATGAAAAACTATACACAATTCGAAAATCTTTGTAAAAATTCGTTTAAATTAGAGGTCATTCATTGGTGAGCAATTTACATGACCTCGGACGAAATTTAGAAAAACTATGTCTATATCGGAATTTGTTAATATCAATATGGTATAAGTTATTGAGTTCGCTATGCTATATTTCGAATCAATCTACAACGTGAAACACTTACTAGAGTTAGGTCGAACTAGTTCAATGAAACTATTTCACAAAAGGAGCGATCGGTACTAGGTTCGGTTCTTTCGTTCATCTAGTTCCAGTCGTTAATTTTTGCTCTCGTTCACCTTGTTTCTTTCGATCCTGTCGTTCGTCTGATTGAATTAAAACGAACTATGGAATTAAATGAATGACCAATATCGAGCCACTTCAGGAACGAGATTGTTCAAAATATATTTGAAAATATATAATTAAAAGTCTCAACAATTTCTATAAGGTTCGTTCTTCGCATAGTCAAGTTCCATAACCTTAGCGTTCTCCTATCAGCTGATCGATCATTAACTAGTGAGTAAACTGTGAGCCACTGTTAAGTCGCTGTTGAACCGTGGAAAATGGGAAATGGGTATAGGTATAGGCACATTTAACGACGAAACTATGACTGATCCGGAGAGGTGTGCTAATTGTTTTAATCAACAGTTTGCGGGTATCCTCAAGGAGACAGGTCGAAATCCCCCAAGAATTTTTGTTATTCGAAGGGCTAAATCATCTGAAGCTTTGGACACGTACGGAATCTTAATGGTAATGCTGAAACAGTTGGATGATCCCGAAGTCGAGTATCAGAATAAAATCTTTTAGTTTTCGATCTCAAAGGTGTCAGCAAAGGATGCCAGCTTGAACTATGAGAAGGTGTTGAAACCGTTAATCATGTCACGAGATTTGAACACGTCGAGAATACTTGCAATATAGATGGCGCCCAATGTTTTAGAGATCTGCGATTTTCGTCGAATGAAGTGTCATAGAACGGGGTTTAAAGTGCTTGACATATCAAAAGTGGTTGATATCGTCAATCGTGCCATGCTGTTTGAAGACGTCGAGAAATTTTGCAATATCGATGGCGCCCAACGTTTTGAAGACAGATTTCAAACGATTTTTGTGGAATGAAGAGTGGATCGAAACTGATGCCAAGTTTGAAGCAATTTTTGTGGACCTGAACGGCTTGGTCCCCGGGCCGCCCCCCTGCAAGAGGCTTTATTGTATTGTACAAGTATGCTGGTTTAAACAGTTTTTTTATCGTTCCTAAATATCGACCGTTTTTACGTATTGAGAACCTTTTGTACACACTTTCAAAATAATTTTAAATATATCTAATTTTAAGGTATATTAATTAATTAATTTCCAAAAAAATTAAAGTTGTTACACTGTGCCACCCTGTTTCTGGTCTTTGTTGTAATTTTGCTGATTTATAAATTATCACTAGTGCCAAGTATTATATATTTATTTACAATATATGTACATATGTAACAAATGTATGTACATACAATTTCTGTTACTATGGGAGGAAAGTGATTCTTGTGTAAAACGAAATCGCCCCTCAACACCCTACACGCGCATCATATCAGTGGCGTAGTAAATCGCTTGTGAATCACGCGAAAAAAGTCGTTGACGTTATCAGGCCTTCAATAGAACGTTAAGATGCTTCTAAAATATTTGCACACATGATAACCTTACTGGGTGATCCCAGTCTACATAACAGCAACAATAGTACTCCTGTAGTGGATTTCATTGCATAATCTACATTTGTGGCGACCAGATTCAATGAAACTTTTTGTATTTTCAAATGTTGAACCCATAGTAGCCCACCATGTTATGATTGAGTGTATAATTTCAATTCAGATGTTCAGTCAAAACTGTTGTTATTCTTATTGTCGATCAGAGCACCACTTCATCATCATCTTTGATATGAATGTTTTGCTGAATCCATCTCGGATTGTTGTACGAAATTTATGACCTAAACAGTTTTGCATTATAATTTAAAAATCGTTGTTGACTGTACAATTCCGTATAGTAACACTGTCTTTTGGGGAAGAACTCTCGTTCTTTTGAAAAATAATCGAATTGCTAAATGTTTTTAGGTGTTTGGATTTTCCAAAATGTGTATGTTAAAATATTATTGGCAATGCAATTTTATCTACGGCACATTTAATTACTTATCTGTGTTGGCTGTAAATTGAAAATATATTAATCTAAAAATACATTCAGTGAAAATGTTCGCCCCGATGTTGAGTAATAGTTATTATTCTGAGTAATATTTATTATTCACGTTTTGAAATAGGGCAGATTAAGACCTATATAAGGTCGACCAGTAAGCGAATTCATAGAGAAAACTTAAGTTTAACCTCATTTCCCGAGGCGAAAACTAATTGTTTCGCCTTTAAATAAAAAAAACACAACACAATTTATAATTTGTAGGATAATTTACTTGAAATTTTTTTAAACTCTTGAAATTGTCCAAATGTGATTCAGAAAGGCAATATAAACAAGTAATAAAGTGTTAGTCGGTGTTGCCGACAGATATAAAACCCCAGCCTTTGGTTTGCGGAAGTCTTCGGAATTACACACAGATTTTATTATTAGCTTTATATAAGAAACGTATGCGGAAAGGGAATACAAGAATAAAATAATATTTAATATGGAATTCGTGAATACACCTCTATTCCACCATCTAATATAATGTTTATTATCATTTAGTACTCTTCATACACATAATCACTATTTTCCGAAATCTCTTTCTTATTTCCATTACACAGATTTAGAATAGATCAGAATTTACGAACAGGTTCCACATTTAGTTCCATTCATTACTTTTCGAACACATAGGTTTCCAACTCTCTCCGTTACCCAAATCCAAATTTAGTGCATTTTCTATTCTATTTACTATTCGTACACATAAATTCGAATTTCCAAAGTTTTCTCCATAGCTCAATACTACACTTCAAGAGTCATCTAAATTCCAAATCTCAGGATTCAACCAAATCCAAATTGTTCCACATTTAGCACCATTTAGTAATTTTTATACTCATATATAAGAATTTCTAAAACTACATCAATCCTACACTCTAACAATAATCGCAATTCCACCAGGGTTCAAATTGTACCAAATTTAGTACTTTTTGTAAACATAAGTACTATGCTTCCATATCTCAATTCTATATTCCAACAGCAACAATTATTCCCAATATTAGGTTTCCAGCTCTCTCCGTTCACCCAAATCCAAATTGTACGAAATTTAGTGCCGTTTAGTACTTTTTGTTCACATAAATACGAATTTCCAAAGATGTCTCTATAGCTCAATCTTCAACAGTAATCTTAATTCCAAATTTCAGGTTTTCAGCTCTAACCTTTCAAGCAAAATCCAAATTGTACTAAATTTGGTACCATAGTACTTTTCATACCAATAAGTACTAATTTCCTAACTACCTCAATACAGCACTCCAACAGTCAATTTAATTCCCAATTTGAAAACCCCAGCTGTATATAATCACCTAAATCCAACATGCACCAAATTTTGTACCATTTACGATTTTTTATAGCTACCTCAATCCTGTACTACAATAGTAGTCCTAATTCCAATTTTCATGCTTCCATCTCTATACACTCATTTAATCGCAATTAGTACGAAATTTAGTACCATTTTGTACTTTTTATATAGATATGTACTAATTTCATAAACCATTTCTATACATCAACACCACTTCCCAACCTTTATTATATAAAAAATTTCAAGATTCTAGCTATAATGTTCAATATATTTACAATTCGAACTAAATTTAATAAAGTTTAGTACTTTTAGTACACTTTTAGGTCGAATTTCCAAAAATCGTTTTGTACAGCTTTCTAACTTTCCATCAGTGACCCACATTCCAAATTTCAGAATTCTACCTCTTCTTGTTCGTTTAATACAAAGGGTACCATATTTGGTACATTTCGTACCCTTCTAGTTCAAATTTCCAAAAACCCAGCCTTATCTTGCGCCTACACACCAACAACAACCTACACTCAAAATTTCAAGCTTCAGCCGTTTCGTCTGTATGATGATCTGTCAGTCACTCACTCACTTTAGAAAATATTAACCATTTGCGTGGACTACTGGGTCCCATCTTCGGACTTAATCCAGACTTCGTAAGGATAATGGGTTGTGCGATGTTTGGTTCACATCGGACCTTCCATTCGCCTGATATTGGATTTACAAATATTGAAAATGTTTACCATTTTTGGGGTAGGTAGCAGAAGGAGTGGACCAATGGGTCCCATTTTCCTACTTGATCTAGGCTTGGTGAAGATAATAGGTTGAAAAAATTTCATTGCATGTGATTATAAAAATAATTTTTAGCACAATTTTGACAATTTTGTGGGGGAGGTACCGGAAAGAGTGGACCAATGGGTCCCATCTTCAAACTTTATGGTAAAGGTAATAGGTTGTGCAAAGTTTGGTTCAAAATGGACTTTCCATT